GAAGGGCCGGTTGTTGGTGCGCCTGGAGCTGCGGTAAGAAGTATGGGGGAAGCTCATGTAACGCTATGGAAATGCAGGAGCTGTGCACCCTAACACGCTATTTTCCACAGCTCTGAGTTTTGACTGTCGCACACAGTTTACGGACCTGGATCTATCATGTATGCCCCCAAGGCCAAAAACCACCTGTGTGCGCCTGTCAAAACTCAGAGCGGAAAGCAGCGTGGGAGGGTGCACAGCTCCAGGCACATCAACAACCGGCCCTTCATGCTGTACAGAGCAACACGCCCATCTGAATGAGGCCTAAAAGGCAAAAAAAAGAAAATAGATGTTTGCTAAAACCTTGCATTACACATGACTGACCCGCAAAGGTTTTTCTTCAAGGAAATGTGAATTTCCACTTTAATTTGTCTTTCACGTTTCTCAGCAAAGAAAAGGTTAAGACCTAGACAATGATTGGCTGCACATTACACATGCTTCTAGCTTCAAACTGAACTACATTTTTTACTGACTATGTAAAATCTGACGCAGTGTGTGCTGGCACACCATGAACAATTGAGAAACAAAAGTGCTGAGACAAAAAAAGTTTAACAAGTTGATCACCTTGTGCATGCAGCATCAGGTGACTTATAGCCATGGGCTGGCCAAGCATTTTATAACACCTGAATTTAAGAAACCAATATCTAGTTTACCAACCATTGGATAAAGCAGGTGAGCTTCTCCTTATCTAGGCATAGGCATATCCAGGCATAGTGGATCTGTAAACATAGTTCACACACTCCTATGTCGTAACATAGGACCTCCCCTTAATCCCTTCATGTGTAACATCTTAATCCTTGTGCTGCTTTCAGTGCTTTGGAAGATTAAATAACAACCATCACTAACAGCCTTAACAAATACAGAGAGCTTATTCTTAAAGTAAACTTGACTTTAAAGAAATACGAAGGTTGCTATTGCTGAGGACCTTCTGAAAAGGCTAGCTTCCTGGCTGTTATGCTGACCCACTAGATTTAGGGGACATGTTCACCTTGGTTTTTGTTTTTTTTCAAATATCCTGATCTCCCTTCCATGGTCCTGTCAATCAGGGCCATCCCTATAATAAGGCAGCCAGAGGGGGTTGCCTTAGGCGGAATCTCATTAGGGTGTGGCAGGTGGTGGCTACAGTGTCCCAAGTTGCTAAAAGCTCGTAGCGACCTGTGACACTCTTTCCGGCTTCCTACCCCGCTCACTGGCGTCACCGGTTGCCATGAGCTGAGCGGGACGCTCTGGCTGGCATACTGCCCAGCTCCTAGCAACCAGTGACATCAGAGAGCTGGGCAGGATGCCAGAGGCGCTGGACCCAGAGATAACGAGCATCCACCGACAGACCCTCCCACTCCACTTTGAAACGAATATTCACTGACAGCAAGTCCACACTTACCTGGAGTTGGGATCTGAGGCTTTTCTCCTCATTTTAGGATACTGGGCATGCAAATTATTCCGTTTAGCACTAAAAACATGGGGCAGTCAAAGGATTGTAAATGAACTATAAAGTAGCCCCAGTTTGAACTTTAGGGCCGGTGCACTCGTGCACGATTCCGCGCGGTCAGGAGTCACCCAGGTGTGCACTGATCGCGCTGTGGGTGCCACTATTTTCCAATGGCAACCCAGTTGCACCGTGTGTATTGCAGGAAAAAAAGGTAATAGTACCTTTTTTCTGCGATACACGATGCGCGGCTGGTTGACTCCTGACCGTGCGACAATCCACGCGGAATCGTACACGATTGATGCATGTTGGGGTGTCGCCCAGGTGTGCACAAGCCCTTAGAGCTGATTTAGCATCCATGTGATGTAGTGTAGCTGCTACCCCTGGGGGTTCCTTGCACCCTGCATCAAAAAGCTCCATTCTGTTTGCTTAAGAGCATGAAGGCTGCCCCTTTCCATAAGCTCCTAGTTACACGTTACACCTCTGATCTTCCTAGTCATGAGGACATGAACCAAAATTTACCAAAATGCAACTCCTAAGAAATATAACATAATCACATCTAGTAGGTGAGTAAGTGTTTTCCACAGCACCAGCATTTATCACCAAACATAAAAAAAAGATACTAGCTGGTTCGAGTCAGATCATCCAATGGTTAAGCAGCTTAATACAATAAAATGTGTTGTTCATAAAACTGAAAAAAGCAAACGATCCAAGATAAGACTTTACCCCAGGAGCCTCGGCTGAGGTGTTCTATTACATCCATCCTCAGCCAATTCCACATCACCTGAGCAGACACACCCAGATTACGTGTTTTCGCCTCACAGCTGACCTAGTATAACCTCCTCTGTCAAACGTTTCCTTCTGCTGCAGAACAGGATATAGAACACTGGAAATGATATATGCAAACTTTTACATTTTATTTTTTTTACACGTGAAACAGTGTAAGTTTTAAAGGAAAAGTCCAGTTTTTGAGAAAAGATAATAAATGTGCAATTCTTCATAAATGAAAAAATGTGCATTGGAGCCAGAAAAGCAACTGTGAGAAGTAGATGGTGCATGCAATCCTGCAGACTCGTCCTCCTGCCCATGTACAGTGGTACCTACAGTGGTACCTCGGTTCACGGACTTAATTAGTTCCACGATTCTGGTCGTGAACCGAATCAGAAAGTGATCAGACCGCAATCTCGACTAGAGGAAGCCACGGCCAGTGTCAGAGCGGGGAAGATGGCTGCAGTTGTGTTCTTCACCCGATGTGGAGTTCGCAAACGGAAGCAAAATTTTGCAGAACTTCCTGTTTGCGAACAGAATTGTCCACAAAAAGAAGCGTTCGTGAAGCGAGGTACCACTGTATTGAGGTATGGACAAATACTGTAAAATCGTACGACTTTCGTCTTTCCAGCAGGCTAGAAAACTTGTCGAATCGTACGAAATTCGATAGGTTGATGGCGTTTTTGTACGGGAAAAAAAAAAAATCGCAGCATTAACACTGCTCGTGCACAAACAAAAATCCGTGCGGTCAATTAACAAAATTCTTCCAGGTGATTTCTGCTAAAGACCGCGAATTGAACTGTGCGATGGTCGGGGCAGGATGGGGAAAATCGTACGACGGTTCGATCATCGGACGGAAATTTTCATCCGATGATTGCACGGTGTATGGGCACCTTTAGATGTACCTAGTCAGTGGGCCTCCCACCCCCGCACTTCAAGGGTATAAATGCTCATTCGACTAAGGGGGAGGAATAAGTACAAATACTTCACATATTTATTCTATTACAGGTATTCACACTGAGCGATTTATCGCGCGGTAATTCCCGCGATATCGCGGCTATTTACAGCGCGATATCGCTCTCCAATGCATCTCAATGGGGCTCTGTCCGTCGCTGTCGCGGGTCGTGCGTCGCTACAGAAGGACCCTTTTTGGAGCGGATTTTGCAGCGATTCTAGGTTGCTCAATGCACGCATTTGCGCGATATCGCACAAAATGCAAATCGCGTGACAAACGCGCGATTTGCGAATCGCTCAATGTGAATAGGGCCTTAGACAGGAGCCAATTAACCTTCCAACATGTATTTGGAGTGTGGGAGGCAACCCGACCAACCCAAGCAAGCACATGGAGAACATGCAAACTCCATGCAGATAGTGTCCTTACCAGGATACAAACTGGGGACCCACCAGAGCTACAAGGCAGAAGTGCTAACCACCATGCTGTCATATCCCATGCTTCCACCCATGCTGTCCAAATATGAAAATGTCCCATCGCACTCCAGGCCGGAATCCCAGTTAAAGTACTTCAGTGGGTGCTGTAATGATCTGCAGATAGCAATGCGTGGATCAGGATATGAATTGTATGCAATACCAGTTTATGCGACGTTGAATAAAGACGGAACAATAACGTGGTCCTCCGGTGTGCTGGAGACTAATTATTTCATATCCTACTCTGCGGTCTGACGCTCCGGAATGTGGACGGGCCCTTGCTGTCCTCCTGTGCAAGGCAGGACTGCTGGTCAAGAGTGGCAACTACTGGTAGGGCAGCAAAATTAAAAGGTGAATTTCCCCCCCTGCACCATTTATCTGTAATGATGACCCTGGCCCACCCCAGCCGATATGACAGTCTACAAATTTTACCACACAGCCCTGATGGTGTATGGCAACATAATAGTTACAATGGAGAGCAGTGATTGGTCAGGACGGCTCTTCCCCAGAGGAAAGAAGACTCAACAGAGATTCTCATTGGTCACTGCGGTCATGTGGCTGAGCTGACCAATCACCACTGCCCCCTACAACCATTGTTACTATACACCCTCAGGGTCATGTAGTAAAGTTCCCAGACTATTCACTGACAAAGTCATCATTACTGTGAAAATGTGAACCATCCCTTTAGGTTTTACTTTAACAACGTGACTTTACATCTTCCAGCTCCTCAGTGTGCATCAGTACAACACACAAACCATCAATTCTTCATAGCTGTCTTCTATATACAACCATCTGGATGACTTGAGAGCTCTCTCTGAAGGAAAACAAAGCTGAATAATAGAGATAAATACACGTCCATATGTGCACACTTTCTGTAACCCATAACTGTTCAGATTCTGCTATGAAAGCAGTCATGGCTGTCACTGAACAATATCTGAATGCAGCAGTCACATACATTGAGAGGTAAAGGCCCCTGTGGCCGGAATTATTCTAGTCCCGGGTGACGGGCCGCCGGGTCACTGCCCTGAGGGGAAAGTATCTGAGGACACGGCGGGAAAAACACATGAATTATCCAACTGCGCGCACTCAACACCACCGCGCGCCGCCGCGGCCCCTTGTTTTGATTTTTTTTTTTTCTTCTTCCGAGCGGAGAGGAAGGTGTGTGGTGTGTCCGCTACGTCATATGGGCAGCCCGGCGCTGATTGGCTGCTGGCGCCTCACCAGACACGCATGTTGTTTTCGGTCGGGGCAGCTGCGGCTCCCCCCCCCTCGCCTCGCTCTCCGCCGTCTGATTCATTGTGGGGTGGAGAAGGGGGGGAGGAGGGAGCGTAGCTACCTACCTACCTGGGGGCGGGTGCACGCCGGCACTGACTGCACGTTCACACAGTGCCCATATTTATAGCAGAGCTCAGAGGAGACACAGGAGGAGAAAAGTGGGGGAAAAGGGCAAAAGTTTATCAAGTCCTCATAGCTGCTGTCCTCACCGCCTGGATACCTGGAGTGTGCCCTGCTACCGGGTGAGGCCTGCATGCCAAGGAGTAAGGGGGGTGCTTGCTGTGCATGGTGGGGTGCATTGTACTATTATAACACTGCTCTGATGTGCGCAGTCATTGTACTGCCATATACCTGTGTTGGTGCCATTGCTGGGGTAGGCATTATAGTGGCACATTGTGTTGGATGAATGGCATGGTGGGGTGCATTGTACTGCCCTGTTGCTGGGGCAGGATGATGGCAATGTTGGAATGGGCACAGTGCTGGTATATGGCTGGGGGGAGAATGTACTGTCCTATACCCGTGTGGGTGCCATATGCTGGGGTGGGCATTATACTGGCACATGTTGCTGGATGAATGGTGGGGTGATGGCAATGTTGGGATGGGCATAGTTCTGGCATATGGTTGGGGGTGATTGTACTGCCCTAGACCTGTGCGGGTGCCATAGGTTGGGGTGGGCAATATACTGGCACATTTTGCTTAATGAATTATGGGGTGATGCCAATGTTGGGATGGACACATGACTGGGGGGCCTGTTGTGGGTGCCATAGATTGGGGTGGTCATTATACTGGCACATTTTGCTGGATGAATGGTGGGGTGCTGGCAATATTGGAATGGGCACAGTGCTGGCATATGGCTGGGGATGATTTTACTGTCCTATACCTTTTGTGGGTGCCATAGGTCAGGGTGGGCATTATACTTTTACATTGTTGTGTTGGTTTAATGCCACTGTGGTATGCAGTGCACTGCTGTGTTGCTAGGCTGGGATGATGGCAGTGTTGGAATGGGCACAGTGCTGATTAAACTCATGTAATTGGTGCCCATTATACTGCCACCTTGCTGTGTTGGGTTAATGACATGGCAGGGTGCATTGTACTGTTAGGTTTAGATGATGGCATTATTGGTGTGGGCACCCTGCTGCCATATGGCTGGGTCAGTGACCTCATTAGAAGGGGATGATTGTACTGTCATGGTCGTGGTAGTTGTACAGCTCGGTTGGTACTGTAGTTGGGGAAGGGGGGGCATCTTGCTGCCATACTGCTGCATTCCATATGCTGCCTGCTGAGATCTTATTTCTAGACATGCCACAATGCTTTCTTGTAACCTGTAGAATGCGCCAGCCACTGATCAGCTTTCATTAACCTGGTTCTCTCCAGTAGATGGGGGAACTACAAGTCTCAGCATTCATCTGAGCAGCAGGACACGCTGAGACTGACCAATTGCTTGACTGCAGTGGGAGGGGGCATCCTCAATTCAATACACGGCCTACTGACACTTCACTGATGTCTGATCTGCTGCCGTGTGATCACATCACTTCTTCAAACGCTGGCACTAAGTGGCTTATAGCCAGACGATGGCACGATTTCATCCGGATCTGGCTAAAGGTCATGATGACTGACTAATCCGTGGGCACTGAGATGTACAGATGGCTGCCAGTTACAGGCCCTGACCAGCTAGATGGTACTGACATAATAGGGTTTGCCCTGATTGGCTAGAACAGTGAAGTATTGGTGATTGGGCACAGAGTGCCGTATCCGTGCTGAGCTCCGCCATCTAACATCTGGATAATGTACACAATATGTTCTTCTGATCTCGCCCAGTTTATCGAATGTGACATAAAAAGCTGGCAGAGGACCTCCATGGCGTTCGTCTACCTCCGGTAACAGAATGTTCGTATGTTAAAGTTTGGCTGGGATTCAGGACTGACCCAGACAACAGGACATGTTGTACAGCTGGGTACAGGACGCCTTTGTCTAGTGTCCCAGAGACAACCATGAGGTCATCCTGTACTTTCACTGAGTGGGCAACGTTCATATAATGGTGATGGTGGGCACATTTTGGGATATAAAGCAATGTCGTAGGTGTCTTGGTGGAATAGTTAGCACAGCGTTGCTTCTTCAATCATCCATTGATGTAAAGCAATGAATGGCATTTGGTGTTCTAGTCTTAATGGGCAGCTTCAGTTTCGTTTTCCAGCCATCAGCGGAGAGATCCTGGTAATGGAATCTATTGATTAGTCAGTCATTCAATAGTTACATATACTTCTGAATGACTTTGCGTGCTATGATGCCAGCACGGGAGGAGTTTGGTCATTCAAGCCGATTGACATCCTCTGAATAGTTTGTATGAATAACTGGGAATGACAAGTTCTCCGAGTCTGATATGTTCCTTCTAATGGTTGTATTCAGATTCTGACTAATCTATGTAACAGGTCAATCACTTTGTCACACACACAGACAAATGAGTATGGAATTCAGGAGCCAGTCTGTCCAATCCAGGAGCCAGCAGGAATCATTTTTTTAGGAGCCATCTCCCTTGACAATTGGAGGGAGCCTCAAAAGTTAGGTGCCAGCTGTCATTTGTCAGAAGCATTGGCTACCCGTCTCCTGGGATTTTTCCAGCCTTGTAGTAGATTTAAAGTACGGGTCCTTTAAATTGGGCACCAGCTTGTTCCAACAATGTTAGTTTTTGTAAAAGTTTCATAAGAACTGGAGAAGTTTTACCCCCATGCACACTAGTGTAGAGTATCATGAATGCATAACCGCTGGATTTTGCACAGGTTCACAAATTACTTTTCACCCTTGCAGTGCCATTGAATGTCTGTGGCACCCCAAAACCAAGCAAGCAAGACAAGCGTTTTCCACATGCAAACTTTCTAGCGTGTAGGTCAGCTCATTCAAATGAATAGGCTGCCTGTACGCGGCTCAGCAAATGCAACACGTGATGTCTTGTTTTGCAAGTGTAAATGACGCAGCAGTATCACAGGCTAGTATTGGAGGCAGTGTGCAGTTTTGCTTTCTGGTTGATAACTAGACAGGAAGTCAGCTGCACACATGCTCCAGATTCTGTCTGCTCCAGTTTAGATGAATTCTCCCCAGTCTGCATTGTTTTCAGTGGATCTTTTACATAAGTTGGACTGTAATTCCAGACACGGATTGCTTCTCTATAGTTTTAGATCTCATGGGATGGGGAGGGCTAAGGTGGTCTGCTAGAGTCTCTTTTTCCCTGCTGGGGGATTTCTCTTCACTTCCGATGACAACATTGTAACTAGATCAGGAACTGAGAGCAAATCTTCCTCAGACAGGAGTAGAGCCATACGCCAGTATAATTTCATTCAAAAAAAATTCCTTGTTCGATATTTTTCTAATAATTAATGATCAAAGTAATGAGCAACATTAATGAAGCAGGATGAGTGACGTTCTAACAGTGAATTTGGTTTTTGAAACTCTATTCATTACAAAATTAAATGTTAAAATCAAACAAGATTTTGAATGACATTCACCAAGTGATGGCTTTATCGAATGTTCTGGTGAGATTTTCAAATGAACATTCGTATGAAATTCAACCAATGTGCGGCCAGCTTCAGCTGATTGAGGTTTAGCTACCTACCCCACTCTCTCTTTGGCTGGCCATACACCTTACAACCATTGCACGACTTTCATCCTGCGATGGTTGTAAGGTAATTAAAAGATCATATGATCTGCCCATCTTGGACAGGCAGATCGTACTTGCGATCATCACAAGCCTGCCCCGCTGAGGGGAGGGCTTCAGATGATTCCATTGCTGAGCGGGCAGTGTGCACTCGCGCACACCGGCCCGTTCGGCATTTGTCTTCCGAGCACGCCACTAACCCACCGACAATCGTACGATTTTCGCCAGATTTTCAAGCGTGCTCGGAAGACAAAAGACGTGCGACCGTACAGTAGAAACGGTCGCACGCCTTCCATACACCTGACGATTATCGTATGATCACGGGATCACCCGCAATTATCGCCGCTGTATGGGCACCTTTTTGAGGGGAGGCCGATTGCTGTTGTCCTTCCTTCCTATGGCAGTGACAGCGCTATCTATGAAACAGGATTTAAGGGGAACTCTCCCCATTAGGCACAGATTCAACAATAAAAAGCCTGAAAGAGGTTCTAACACCTCCCACATTTTATCCGAAATGCATGAGAATGTCTGAAGTTCAACCTAGCCTTTTATTTTAGGCAACCCAGACCATTAGTCTATATGTATGTGTGATGTGTATACATATTGTGTGTGCTTTCTCAACATGCTAATTGTCCTTTTCTTCTTTCTACAGCTACCTCTTAAAAAAAACAAATGCCAAGACTCGAGGAGCACTGCTGGAGTTGCTCTTGCACCAGAGGGAGAGACAAGAACGGCCCAAAGATAAGCACTTGGCTGGCACTCAGAGTTGGAGAAGTCATGTCCTCCCTAAACTCCCCCATTGCTCTCGCCTGCAGCTCCTTAGCCAGCAGCGAAGGCCGCAGCCTCATCCGGAGAAGTGTTGTCCTCTTTAGTGTTGGCGTTTTTCTTGCCTTGGTGCTCAATCTTCTCCAAGTCCAAAGACATGTGACACTATTTCCTGAAGAGGTTATTGCCACCATATTTTCCTCTGCGTGGTGGGTGCCTCCTTGCTGCGGCACTGCAGCTGGTAAGTATTACAATGAAGCCGCAGCTGGACAGACAGTTTTTGTATTATTGGTGGTGCAGTTGTCAGAGTTGCCATGTCTAGGAGTTGTTTTCCTGGGTCGTGTTTGAGCAGGCTCAGGGTTTGTTTGTGTTCAGTGGTAGAAATCCTACTACTAGGGACTGCAGGAATTATAAGAACCCGACAGGTAAATGGCGCCGACCATCATTTTGCTTGAAGCTGAACTACAGGCACAAACATTTTCATGTAAAAAAAAAAATCCTGTATATGTAAAACAATTTTGTGTGTACCAGAGGTCATTTAAGCCCAGATATTACCATCTAAAGTAGTTGTGATTTCATCACTGTGTTGCACATAACCCTTAAAAAGAGCAAAGCTGTGGGAGGGCCACAGCAGGCCCCAACCCACTACCAGCTGGCTGCAGTAAACTACAGGAGAGGGCGGAGACGAGACCAGTCACCCTGCACAAGGAAAGAGCAGCGGTGACCAGTCTTTATTACAGGAAGCTCCTGCACAGGAGTCTTTATTACAGGAAGCTCCTGTTACACACTGAATCACTGCACAGATCTGGAAGAAATACACAAAGAGCACGAACATTCAAATAAGAATCGTGTCCCTCTTGGATTTAGACATTATTTGAAGTTCAGCTTTGAGAATGAAAAAAAAATAAATGGACAAGATTTTTTTAATTGCCTCTATTACTGGGTTGAGACAAGATTATTCTGAAGGAAAGGGGTGTACACATTTCAATATGGAATCCAATAGCAAGTCTACCCAATCCAGGAGCCAGCTTCCTTGACCACAACTAGAGTACCTTAAACGTTCGGCGCCAGCTGTCATTTATAAGACTCATTGACGACCTGGCTCCTGGGATTTGTCCAGTCCTGAGCTGGGATATGTCCAGTGATATATGAAAATGTTTTTACAATATTATGTAATTGGATGATGCCGGGCCTGATTTATACAAGCTGAGGCAAAGGAGAGCAGAAGTCTTGCCCATAGCAGTTTGATTGCAGCTGTCAAAATTAAGAAGGTCATTCAGTGAGTACGTCCCAATAATAACCAGAAATGCTCCGTATTGTGAGCATCTCTTGTAACATTTCTAGTGTTTCTGACTTCCTAAGCCCTCATTCACACTAGAAACGGCCGGCACGTACAGCTCGGTGCTGCGTGCGCGGCCGTATCGGGCAGCTCCCGGGAAGGACAGGTGCTGAGTGTGATTAGTATGCAGCCCCCGTTCTTCTTTATGGGAATACGCAGCCATACACCCCCCCTACGCTCAACTCAAGTGCGGGTGTGTGTTTCCTGGCTCGGACGCAGACAGGATCCATCCTGTCAGCGCATGAGTAGGCTCACCCGCACAGACGCGTAGGGCAGCGCATGGCCGCATAGTCCCATGGAGAAGAACAGGGGCTGCGTACTAATCACCCGCAGCACCTGTCCTTCCCGGGAGCTGCCCGATACGGCCGTGCATGTAGCACAGAGCTGTATGTGCCGGCCGGGGGTTAATGGCACACAGTGAGATTTATTTAACTTATTAGATCATTATGCGAGTGGAGCCGATCCTTCCCCTGCTATAGAGGAAAGGTGAAAGTACCAAGGGCATGCTGTTACTGCCAGACCAGAATGGTGCCAGGTTCTTGGTGACTTGTCTGTAGCACTCTGTGGGCGTCAGCCATGCTGTACACTGACCTTTCATTAGGTACTCCTCTGACTGATCTGTTCTAGAGCCAGCTATAGATGTATCCATCCCCAGGATCATTGACCTCTGTGTTCTTTCACTTGGGTCCGCACTTATGTGAAGACAATGCATCTACTATGTTTCCACCCATATGTGCTTCCTATTAATGGCAACCTATTATGAAGCACCTACATGAGAATCCTTGGATATAAATGCATAAAGCAGGGGTAGGCAACCTCAGCACTCCAGCTGTGGTGAAACTACGAATCTTCTTTACTTCTGGAAGTCATGGCTATGAAAGTCCCGCAACTCCTCATGGGATTTGTAGTTTCAGCACAGTTGGAACCAAATAGCCCTCAACTAATCCATGCATAGCATAGTAAGGGCCATCTCACACTAGATGTATCTGAGCTGCACTGGCCACTGTTTGCAGCTCAGCCCCAAAGCAAGACATTTTCAGGCCTAAAATGTGGATTGTAACATGTAAAAAAAAAAAAGGCCCTTTGTCCTTAAGGGGTTAATCTTTAAATAATCAGCCTGCACTCCGGGCAGTTATCAGGCTGAAACTTAATATGAGCATTAGAACTGCTTCTCCTCTTCAGTGCAGACGCCTGCTTGGCATATTCTACATAGCACAGGAAATGTTGTAAGCTCTGAGCTTTCTGATTGGCCAGCGCCTGAACTGGTGAGCTGCATGCCTCGCACATCATTGGCTTTCGTCTTAAACATGCCACTTCTTGGAAAACGAAAATAAGGAAGTGATCAGGGTTTAGGAGGAGACTTAGCTGCCTGCCAACCCTGCCATAAATATCTCCAGAGACACTGAAAGCGAAAAAGACGTCTGACCGCTTTTTTATTTTCTGTTTGCTTGTTTCATGTTGAAATGTGTTTTTTAAATGTATAGAACAGTATATAAAACTTCTTTTATAGGTCATAAACTTCAGTTTTAGATCTATATTCGATGTTGAGAACAGATAATTCATATGACAGATAAAGCATATGACAAACAGATCAGCAGTTCAAATGAAATGACAGTCCGCGTTAAGTCCTATTCAGATATTCATCCTATTGGTCTAGAAACTGTTTTGTGTCATGTAACTTGAAGGCTGGCTTTACTGACTGCTCCTTCTGAAAATGTCTGTTGCCTGACTGCCATTCATTTCACTGAGTCAGCATAACAAGCAAGCAACTAGCATTTTGTAGAAAGGTCACTTGACGCAGATTTTCTCACATCACTTTCTGTTCAACTAGAAAATATAAATTGACGATGGGCCCCATAAAAAGAGAATCTTGTTTTTATAGTGTTTTGAGTTAGTTTAATTCGTGAATATGCTTAAAGTGGCTGCGTAACTTAGGCTGACCATAGACTATTAGAATTTCAGATGGACGTTCATATGAAAAATCTCATCATTCGGTAACGCCATCAAAGACTTGAGAAATGTTGTTCCAAATTTCATTTGGTTTTATCATTTTATCTTGGAACAAATGGAGTTTTCGAAACCAAAAACCACATTAGGGGCAATTTATCGAATCTGGAGCAGTTGCCCATGACAACCAATCAGCTTCTCTCTTCAGTTCTGTTAAGATTTGAAAATGAAAGAGAGAAGCTGACTGGTTGCCACGGACAGTTGCTCCAGATTCTGTCTGCTCCAGTTTTGATAAATTCCCCTCATTGACTGTTAGAATTGTGTTTGTTCCATTCTGCTCCTTTTTTTTTTTTCTATATTTTTTTTTTCTTCTTCAATTTGGCTCCTTTAGCTATTAGAAAAGTGAATGAACTTTCTGAAAATATTTTTTTGGTGTATGGCCAACTTAAAATAAAGTTCAGTAGATCAGGATGGACAAATATGGATAATATGGAGTTCAGGGGCCAGCAGGATTTTATGTAGGAGCCAGCTCCATTGATGATTAGAAAGAGCCCTAAAAGTTAGGAGCCACTTCTAAGGAGCATTGGAATTGTAACAAAGAAGCTCAGGAGCATTGCTGGTTCATTTAGACATGCAAGAAGCAACAGTTATGTGCAAGCACCTCCTAGAAGCTTTAAAGGAGAACTATGGGGTTAGGGCTTTTCCCCATAGTTCTCCTAAGGGTAACGGGAGTACACAAACTAGCGTCTACCCGTCACCCTAAGCTCAATATACAGCGAGCTACTGCTTGGTATACTGAGACGCCACAGCTGAAACGGATCGCAACAATTTATGTCTGGATCCACCAGCTGCGTGAGTGACAGCTGGCTCTGCCTATCTAGAGACAGAGCCAGCTGTACCCGTCCCCTCCGTTCCACCAGTCAGCGCTGGTGGGGAGGGGGGAATCCAGCCCCTCCCCTGTCACGGCTCTCTGCCGTGACAGGATCGAGAAGTGAGCGAACGCCGGTATGTGTTCGCTCACTTCCCGATCTACTGAGCCGACCTGTGACAGTTTCATTGTCACAGGTCGGCTAGAACTATGAGGTGAGTGAAAAGCACTCCTCATAGTTCTCCTTTAAAGGCAATCCATTTTCAATTAAAGTAAAATCCAATCGCTTAAATCTTATATTTAATATGTTGGTGAATTTTTAAAGGTCAAGTTCGATCTTTTTAAACCTTAAGCTTTTATTAAATCTATACCTGGTAATCCTGCCGTGTTCTTGTGAAGGCACTTGCTGTTATGGGGGTGACAATGCTCTGTCCGTGTCTTCCATTGGTGCTCTTGTGTTGTCACCCTGTCACATGCACTTCCTGTGGAGACTGTAAGGGGCCATGCTAAGTCTTAATGTTCAAAAATGTTACTCGGCTGTCAGCATCAGCAAGTCCATTCCCACCCAAGCGATATATCTGTAGTTGCCACTGGAGTAAATGCATATAGACAGGAAGTGGCTGCAGAGGATCAGCAGCATTGTGATGCAAAAAGGATTAAAATAAAGGTGAAAAGTATCTATAAAGAAGTATATTTGGGGAATGCAGCTTTTTACTTACATAAACATATGTACATAAGGACAGAGCACTGTCAACTTCCTTTAACCGTTCTGTACACCAAGGCGGTTGCGGATCAGCGCGGTTACCGCACTGATTTCAAAAGTGAGGTTTTGGGAGGTTTTATTTTGTTTCAGTGCTGAACGCAATAAAAACTCCAAAACCTCGCTGAGCAGCGTGGTTCTATTGAAAGCTGTATGGGAACTGCACTGATCAGCGCAGCAAAAATAGTGCAGGGGGGGCAGTTCGGATCGCGCGGTCACATGAATGGTCCACATAGCAATATATGGGATTGTTCATGTCGGCGGATCCGCACAGCTGAACCGCCCCGGTGTGAACGGGGCCTGCTGGATGTGATGATTAAAAAGTTCTGGAACGAATGCTTAAAGTTTGTTTTTCTCTTTTTCAGCCGTTGTTGGCCTTCTTTATCCTTGCATCGACAGCCATCTTGGAGAACCACACAAGTTCAAGAGAGAATGGGCTAGCGTCATGAGATGTATAGCAGTGTTTGTCGGCATTAATCACGCTAGTGCAGTATCCTTTTATCCATGTAATAGGAAAAGTGGTTCCAGAATCCACATTTCACAATGGGTTTTCATCTCTGGGTAGAGCTGCTTTGAATGTTCATTTTATACGCTCATGTCCTAGCATGGATACATAGGTTAGGCTGTTTAAAAGGTTGGAATACGTGGCAACTAATACAAATTTTACTTTCCTCAATTGAAGTGATGTAGGCCAGTGACCAATCCGATGTCTGTGGGTGATGGTCATATGTCTCTGGGTACTATACAGAGCAGGTTCTTGGTGATGAAACTGATGGCTCAGTTCTAGTTTTCCTAAATACATTTTGCTGTTTCCCCATGATGCCCCATTCACGCCTGAGCGTTTTGTCTAGTGATTCCCAAAGTGCTTCAATGCTCAAGATGAATTTTTTTTTTCTTTTTTCTAATGGGTCTTTTCACACCTGAGCATTATTACCTGTTGCATGAAGCTCAAAAAAGTACACAAGCTTCTTTTGGGGCAGAATTGTGTGCTTTTGGTCCTACAGATCTTGGAATTGGAAACTGACAGGATTATTCACAAAATGGTGAGTCTGGAGAAGGCAGGAGAAGTGAACAATCTAGGACAACATAGCTGAACCGAAAAGTGAGCTGAATTGGAGATTTTTTCCAAATCAGCTATTTAGTCCTAAAGCTCTTCACCCTTTTGTGAATAACCCTGCGTCTGTTTTCAGGTGCTCACATTTTAAAGTCTATTGGTCCAAAAATGCACGATTCTGCTCCTGTACTACAAGGTACAGGTAAACACCCCAAAAATGCACATGCAAATGTGAACAAAAGCCTTTATATGGCTGTGCTCATGCTTGAGTGTGAATGGGGCCTGAAGTAGGAGGATGCCTGCTAGTGCTTAAACATGCACTTTGTCCTCACGAACACTTATACTTCCAATGCAGCTCATTTAATATGCAGTAGCGTCCACTTTTGTCATGAATGTTATTTCTGTTCATAGACAAAAAGTCACAATTCTTAAATAATACAGAACAGTGTCAGGTTCCCTGTTGGGGGGAGGGGAGGGGTGCAATCTGTTTTACTTGTGTTAATGTATGTGATGCAAAATGTGTTTTAGAATGAATGGATAGTATATGATCATGAGTCTTTTCCTTAACATTATACTCCACCAGAAATTGGATTTTGCAAATAATATTCAGCTCTCACTAACACTAGCAGCCTTGTCGCTGGGCCTTTGGTGGACCTTTGACCGGTCACGAAGTGGTCTTGGACTAGGAATCACAATAGCCTTTCTTGCAACACTCATAACGCAGTTTCTTGTATACAACGGAGTGTACCAGTAAGTATCGCCTGTGCTGCAAATTCAGTATTTTAACATTTGTGGTATGTTAGATTTTGGCATTGGGGGTTTTGCATTTGATATCTGGTTTGCAATCGTATAAAAAAAAAAAACTAAACACCAGACTCCTAAAATTCCCCAAATTATTAGGAACGTAAAAGCATAACCCTACGCTGAACCTGCCTATTCTATTCCTGAATATTAGGGATGCACTGATACTAGTATCGGTATCGGTATCGGTGCCGATACCGAGTATTTGGGTGAGTACTCGTACTCGCCATAATGCTCCGATACCTAGCACGAGTACTTCCTGTATCAGGAAGCCGGGCAGTTCGTCATTACACGCTGCCCGGTTTCCTTATTGGCCGGGAAACTGCTCCATGCTCTCTCGTCACTTGTGATGAGAGAGCATGGAGCCAACTTCCTGGCAAATCAGGAAGCCGGGTAGCGTGTAATTACGCGCTGTCCGGCTTCCCGATTGGTCAGAAAGCTGGCAAGTCCGGAAGCCGGGTAATGACGCAGCGCCCGGCATTCTGATTGGCAGGGAAGCCGGCATCATGCTTACTCGTCATCTCATGAATCATAATATTAAGAAACTGACCTAAAATCATTAGTTTGTATTGCTTTAGAAAAAATGTGACCTGGTCCTTTAAGAAAAAGTATCGGTAATTGGTATCGGCGAGTATGTGATCAAAAGTATCGGTACTCGTACTCTGTCTTAAAAAAGTGGCATCGGTGCATCCCTACTGAATACTTATTCCCAACCCCGGAAATGCACTTATAATTCTTAATAAACCCCTTCCCTCAAGATTCAACCTAAGCCTTAAAGGTTTATTAAACCCTCACATGTTTTGGCATACATCTACTGATAGTAAGCAGTAGATATATGCAAAAACATTAGTTTTTTTTTAAACTTAAAAAAAAAGGTTAATACTTACCTTGTGTCTTCGCTGCATGCTTCTGTCCGAACATCTGAAGAGTTTGGGGCGGGCGCATGCGCAGTTCAGATGTTCGGCCGGGAGACTAGGAGAGACACAAAGTATATGGAGCATCGTGCACCCGCACAGACGCCGTGGGACATCAGACAAGCAGTAGGGGCTGGATCGGGGACCCGCACCAGTGCTGGAGGGACAGCTGAAAAGGACAGGAAAGAAGATCGAATTAAGAGACATGATTTAAGGTAAGTTCTTACATTAGCATTGGGGGGGTGGGGGGGCTTTAATGTCACTTAAAAACCACATTAAGAGCCCCCCTCACATCAGAGTCTCCCCCTCTCACACTGGGAAGCCCTTCAGGAGCCCTCCTCTTCACATCAGAGGTATGATGCTGTGTAAAAATGAAAGGGCACCCCTGAGGAAGCCAGAAGGCCACAGCACATTGGTTGAGACAGACATTTTGTATTAGCAAGTTCTGTATAACCAATTTATAATTCTCTTGTATCGTGTAATTACTTGTTAAATTTGTTACATAGGCTGACACAGTGTATCTATAGCAAAGTGTGAGGAAGGTATAGAACTCGTGTCAGGTTTTACTGCTATTCCAGGCTCCATTAGAGAGATTTGTCCTCACTGTCTAGTGAAAATGTTGCCTCAGGGACAGTGAATGAGGGGAAATCTCTCCAACAGCGACAGAGATAGAAGTAGGGGATGCTAGAACCCCTGTGAGCGTTTTATGGTTTTCTGTTTCCCTGTTGTAGGTTTATTTCTTCTCTGGTAAAACTTTGACCCCACAACAGGAAGTAAAGGCAAATCTCTCCAATGAAGCCCAGATATTGGTAAAAAACTTGGGGGAGATTCTAATTCTTTTCCTTTTTAATAAAAAAAAAAAAAAAGCTTTCACGTTTAATCCAGAGGACATCCAAAACCCTTATTAGATTGGTCCAATTAGATATAACAGAGAAATATTCCTTGATAATCCCCAAAGCCAGTTGAATAATTCCTGCGTTTGGAAGCACATCCAGGCCTTTTTTTTTTAAGTTACCCTAATTTTTAGAAATACCAGCTCATGCGAAAGACTATTCCACGTTTTCATAGCTCTTCGTATAAACAGTTCTTACTGTATGCGGAGATTAAATTCAACTTCTTTTAGTCCAGGCGCAAAGACCGTTAAGACATTACTACTGGAGATAACTATTCCAACAATATACATTTATTTCCTTTTATGTAATTTGCAAGTAGCTTGTGTATATGTGGCAAGCAGTCAGCTGAGTGCTTTCGCCCTTTTGTGAGATGCATTGACATGCAGAGAAGTAATCACTTTGAATTGTGAGATATGAGTGGTGTAAACATTTGTTGGCTGTTGAGATTTACATAGAGGTCGTGCCTGGGTTCCATGGGTAGGAAAGCACTTGAGGTCCCTGCACATATTCTTATGGATCTGAGATACCTTTTCCTTTTACTGTTTTCAGTTACTAATGTACAAGCCTGTTCATTATTGATGGTGCAGCTAAAAAATTAGATTGTATTGATAGTTTCACAGCAGTGGTATATGTGTGGCCTATGACGGCAAATGTCTGCATCCTGTTGAGTCTTATGCATTTTACCTTTTACTCAGAATCTTTTCCTTGTGTGTTTCAGGTATACATCCCCAGACTTCCTGTACATTCGTTCCTGGCTGCCTTGCATATTCTTCTCTGGAGGAGTGACTGTTGGAAATATAGGACGACAACTAGCAATGGTAATTATTTGTTTGTTAATTATTACATACGTAGGCTTGTTCCGGTTCACTCATATGTTCTGTGATTAAAGTGCAACTGCACCTAAGACATTCTAGGTTTCAGTGGCAGATTACAGCTCTGTTTTTGTGCCACTGTTTTGCCTTTTCAAGTTTTTCATCTTGGGTTAGGTGGGGTCCTGGACCAGGCTATAACTGCATTGTGGTCTGCAGGAAGGTCCAGGATCTGGTTACACTTTCTGGCCAGGGTGCCTGGCTCTCAAGCCTGGTTGATCAGAATTATAAATCCTTTGGCAGGAACCATTCTCCTGCATGTAATTTAGCTGTGTATTTGGTGTTTTGCCTGGAGTTCAGCTTCAAATAATAAATTGTTCTTCCTTTCTGTAGCAGTAAGGTTTAGTGTTCCACACGTAGCAATGTTTGCATACAGGAAGGGTTGGAAACAAGGCTGCTTCGATTTTTACCTGCTTATGAAAGTGGGATCACGGTGATCAATTCTGACTTCGCTTCTTGCTTACTTATTCCAGGTTAATGAGTTATAAGACAGCAATGCAGCTAGCATTTTTAGAAGGGGAGAGGTCAACAGTTGTATCACTCTGTACAAATTTCCCTTTAAACAGAGAATGGTCTATTAACCAAACTGTTCTTTCATTGCAGGGCCCCTCAGAAAAAGCACATGACGACTAGATGTGTCCAAGCAATGGCTATATTGTGGAAGATTCATGCTGATGTTGGAAAAGCTTGCACTCTGTTACTGAGTAACAACCCGCAAACTTTCCACGCACAAACACGTTAAAATGTGAAGCCTATTTCTTCATCATTTGATTACTACATTTTATGGTATGCAGGACTTTATTATTGCTCCATGAATTCCTACACTAGACCAGGACTTTGCTGGTGGAGTCAGAATAAGAAGGAAAAAAAATATTCATTCAGTCACGCATCTGCTCTTCCATGATTGATGCAAGTTTTGTTAATCTGACACTATAGATGTAGATTTTCAAAGTATTCTTTTGCATGGTGTAATAAGCTGTTTGCCAGCTTCAAGTACCAGTATTATGATTTAATTCTAAGAGGATGAAAGAGGACATGCCTATTACAAAGCATTGCAACAACCATATCCCATTGAAGCCTCACAGGTGCAAGGTGCCTAAATGGGAGAAGAAGATGAAGTGTAACTAAGTAGGAGTGTATTATTTATCTAAATGGTAAATAAGGCTGTGGGCAAAAAAGGGTGGAGATGCATTTAATGCCAGCTAGCCTAAAGGCCCAGCTCAACAAGGCCAAGAATAGGTAAAACAAATTAAAAAGGGCCAATAACAAACTGTCCAAAAAAAGAAGTGTCTGTCTTTGCCCAGTGGCAAATGATTCATATAATATTGTAAATTTTCTGATTCTCAAGCCAGTTTTGCAATCTTAGACTCTAGATGTGGTGGAACTACAAATCACAACATGCCTTCTGCCAAAGGCCTTTAAGCAAAGTTTCTGGAGGAATAAATACTGCAGCAGCCAATCAGATCCTTGCTTACATTCTTTAACAGTTTATCCTGGGATAGATGTGTTAGGAGTAATGGAGAGGCTGATATAATTCCTGGAAGAGAAATCTGCTCTGACCTTCCTTGAGTGCTTGCCACATGTGTAAAGGCCCAGGTCACATAGGCACTGCTAAGAAGGGAAAGTCACCAATCTGAGCTTACATCCTTCCCTAATACATAGATCACATGACCACATTGCCTATTCTATGCCTTCAGGCATGTGGGCAGTTCAAGAAGGAAGCTGGAGCATCATTTTTTTTTCCTGGGTTGGCAGGGGTTTTTGAACCAGTCCGGCCTAGATAAATAAGAAAGAGGTGATCTGTTTGCTTGTTGTATGGCGTATATACGGAGACTCCTTACCCTCTGTTACTGCTATTCAGATGCCTATTGATCAACATCTGGGGCCCAGAGCCAAATGGGTGTATGGAGCCGAAAGCTCAAACGCTCAGCGAAGCATCCACATTGCTGTGCCTCACTAATATGAACACTGGCTGCAGTTTCTGTCTGATACTGTCACCATTGTTCTTCCTATTGCTTTCCCCAAGCATAAGAGCAATGCAACTGGCACATGAAATTCAAATCGTACTGATGGTGTGTATGAGGTATAGTAGAGATTTTCCAGCCCTATGATTCTCCATGCTACTAATACACACCATTTTTCAGTTAGCAGAAAGGTACATTACAGGGGGAAGAGAAGACCCCCCCCCTTCCCCTCCTATATATTTTTTTTTGTCTCGCAGCCTTATTATTTTTTGCAGTCTGTGATTGCCTTTGTAAAGAGAAAAGTGCATTTGCCACTTCATTAAACCTTTTGTTGTTTTCGATATTCTATAGTATTTGTGAGCACAAGTTTTTCATTGCAATTATTTAATTACATGCAGATCATTTTCAGTCCGATTTACTAGCAGACCTTTAACAATTCTAAGTGCAATGTGTTTAAAATAACTTCAAGGGAATGTGTAGCCTGTCTCTTTTATTGCATATCATTATTATTATTATTATTATTATTATTATTATTAAAGGGACATTACCA